GAGAGTGGAGTCCAATAACGAATGCGCCGTGTTTAACACATAATCAATGACAGGAACATTGCGACATATCTTTTCCAATGAATTTTGCAACGCATCTGTGGAATTCTGTAGGAAATTTTATTTTTTGTAATGATACTCAGAAAAGAAATTTTCCCACCGGACATCGCATACTTTTCGAAGTTTATCGAGGTAAAGGTGTCGCAAACTTGCCGCTGCTATATGCAAAAGAAGAGGGGGGATTCGTTTGACAAATACAGTCTAACATAATTTTGCGACGACGAGTCTCGCCACCGTGTGCTCGTGGTTGTTCGTTGGAGGATACGAAAAGTAAGATCGTAAACGAACAACGTTGCCCGCCGTCGCGGGAATTCTTCTGATATTGTTATACTCCCACCGCGCACCCTTTACCTTCCTCGCGATCGTTTATCTGGAGCGCAAAAACGCGGTGATACATCGCGCGAAGTGTCACGGCGGACGTTCGGGCGCGAATTTTTGCCTCGCACTTGGCGTGAGAGCACGTGTTTCTTGTTCTACGATATGGATCATCCGCGCAGCCCCTCGAACGCTCCCGCGAACCCCACGACCGTCCTCGTCGTCCGCACGGAATCCTCGAATTCTGAATTTACTCGTGCACGTCTGTACACCAATACGCGCTCTCGCGCTTTAAACCATTATCTTTTTCTCCCTCTCTCTCTCTCTCTCTCTTTCTCTCTCTCTCTTTCTTCGAGCTCTTAGAATCGCAGTACCCTTCTATTTTATTTATCTCAATGTCCTCTCCTCCGACTCTAATGGTCTCTATTAGGAGAGAAGGAGTTTGAGTGGCCAATTTAGAAATCCACCGAGTCCCTTCGCCTTATCTCGCCCTTTACACGCGGCTCTTTAGAGATATTTACCGAGAGGTACACACATACATACATATACACACACACACACACATACTCATGGAGAAACACCTGGACTCCTTCGCTTTTTACGTTCGCGAGAGACGTCTCGAAAGTGAAATCTCACCTCCCTGTCTTCGCAGTCTGTTGCGAGATAGCTGAGGTGACGTACGCCTGTATTTCGGCAGAGAGGGAGCGAGGGAGAGGGGGGAGGAGAAAGAGAGACACGACGCGTTTGCGAAACTCACGTATAAGTGACTAACGCTAACTATTACGCAACGCGCGCTCTACGCGGCGTGTAATACACTTACGTGATTACGCCGGATAATAATATTGTGCGCGCATAACGCAGTGCGTTGTAATACGATAGTGCAACAATACCGCGTGAACGCTGGTGCATTAGCCTAATCTATAAGACGGTGCTTGGCAGTGTGAGTTAGCGCATAGCCATTGTGCTCGCGGGAACGTATGCAGATATGTTACTTATGCGTGTGGCCTATCGTGCGTGCGCGTATCTCGTCGCCCACGTTCCTTATACTATGTAATGAGCAGCCGCATGGTGATCGTAATGCACGCTCGCGTGGTTATCGCAAAATGGATATTCGGCTCTCCGACGATTCGCCAGAGTTATCGGCGCGATCTCTCTCTCTCTCTCTCTCTCTCTCTCTCTCTGTTGGAGAGACTGCTATATCCCGATTAAATTTAAACGCACACGTCGGTCTTCCGCAAACTCCCGCCTCTGTTGTGAACTTTGGGACATGCGGGAGAAGACGTCATCATATCGGAGAGTCCTCGTAATTCCAGCAAGTATTACATCAGAAAGTAATTCTGCAATATTAATAATTTTGCAAAAGGCAAAAGAGCGAGACCCACAATATTGAGAGATCAGATTTCTCGTCCCGCGGGTACAAGATTGCACGGACGGTCATGCGAATCGCGCGTGTGTACATTAAATTTTTCGCATACGCGACGCCGGCGAAGACCGCAACGCAGGTCACAATAAGAATTTCAATGCCCGCGTAACTCGGCGAGTTTAAACGGGGCACGCTACGGAAAATAATAGCAGCTGAACGTTACACATGTGTACGTCGGGATTCGCTCAACGGCGCTCGCGTCCATGCAAGGCTAAACGTCGAAGAGCTCCGGATACGTATTTTTCCGCGGTATCTCCGTGCTGTGTAATATTTGCGAGTGGGTGGAAAAGATAAAGCGGAAGAGACGCGCTCGGACATTGCATCGCTGGCGTGTAGGTAGGTAAGGTAGGTAGGTAGATAGCTAGATAGTCGGGTGGGTGGGTAGGAAGGTAGCTAGATAGGTAGGAAGGTAGGTAGGTAGGTAGGTAGGTAGGTAGGTAGGTAGGTAGGTAGGCTACCACGGAAAAGTCCAGGAAAGTCGGAGGGAGAGAGGGAGAAGGAGAGAGGGAGAAGGAGAGAGAGAAAGAGAGACGCAATCTAGGAACTCTCGGGAACCAATCTTCTCTGATGAAAATACCTTGTCCTCTGTGAGGTCTGATACCGCACCCGCGGGGGCCAATTTCGTTCGTTACTTTTTGGAATACCGCGAGTACGTTTGAATTGGACGTTCCGTCGTGGTCCTTGCGAGGCGGATTCCGGGGGAACATTTTGAGGATACGTGCGGGCGAGCGTGTCGACAAAGCGCGAGACCAAGGAGGCGGAAAATGGATTGCTCGCGGGGCGACGGCGTTTCCCGCGATTGACCGCCCTTTCGTCGACAAATATCGACTTAATTAAGGCTCGCAACTGTATGCGGGAAACGGCGGCGTAAAGAAAAGGCGTAACGTTGGGTATACACGTGCAGAGCGTACATTGTGTGCCTTCGGTCGGACTGCTCCCTTCTTCGTTCTCTTTGTGCCTTTTAATTCAAAGTCTTCGCGTGTCCTTCTTTTTTCTTCCCTCCCGGTGAAGGTATCGAAACGTTTATGATTATTAGCTGTCTTTGAGTGTAATCGATGGTTAACAATTCATTCATGAATTTTAACTCGAGGCTCTCGATTTTTCTCTAATATCTATAAAAATTGCCGGGAGACATTACTCTGCGGTATAGCAGCCTCCGGGAGTCGCTACGACGAGTGACGACGTTTCCTCCCTCGACATTTTCGACCGGGGAGAAATGTATCCCGGCCGGCGGAATCTGTCAATAAAAATACGACCCGTTTATTCCGGGATACCTCCGTAGCCGGCGGTCTTATATGGATATTCGATGTCGAATGTCCCGCTCGAACATTTCAGAAACACTAGGCGCGCTCGGTTATTACCGGAAAGGGTTAGATCGCCCGAGGGATAAGCCGAGGAATTTCGTGCCGATTTTCCCGGAATCTGCACTGCGACACTTACATTCTCACCAGCCTTGTCCCTTTCCCCTGCCGTTTCCAGTTTCTCTCTCTCTTTCTCTTTCTTTCTTTCTGCGTCTTCACCCTTCGTCCTTCTCTTTCACTATACCGCTCTTTAACCTCTCGTCGATGGGGGCGGCGAAGAGAGACGCGGGATTGGCGCCGAAGATGGATTCCGGTATCGAAGGATCGGCAGTAGGATTTTCCGGGTTATATTCCTGCCGCGAGCTATACGAGATATCCCGAGATTCGAGCATACTCCGTTACCGCGACTGCTTTGAAGGGGCTTCTCCATGAAAGTTACACCTTCATACGACGTGGACTTTATGATCAACTCGCAACAGCGCCGCATTCGCGCATTCGTCGCGAAGAAAGTAGCACGGTTTCCGGAATATTACTTTAAGCCCATCGCGCGCGAAGGGAAACGCGGAAGAGTGAAATCACCCAGCGACGCGAGTCGTAATGACGGTCATGGGATTCTTCGTGTTGCTGTGCATATGAGAGTAGTAGTAGTAGTAGTAGTAGTAATAGTAGTAATAGTAGTAGTAGTAGTAGTAGTAGTAGTAGTAGTAGTAGTAGTAGTAGTAGTCGTCGTCGTCGTCGAGGCTTGTTTGCCGCCCTTTATCCCTACGCTTATCCGCCAAGAGGAGGAATACGGCGGAGCGGAATGTCGTATTTATGTAAGAGCTCGGGGTGGATTCGTCGCGAACGCGTCGCGACCGAATTCGCCTGGCTGAGGGAAAGGGCTTGGGGTAGAAGAGCGCAACGCTCAAAAATGGGTCAGAGAAATAGTGGGCTACGGCGACGCTGGCCGGGTTTCAGCGTGACCACGTGGCGCGCGAAAGCAGCGGCATACGCGCGGCGAAACGGAGGCAACGCGTCTGCGATTGGCTCATGCATTTTTCAGCAGTCGCTGCATTTGTTTGATCAGACCTACACCACCCCTCCCGCCGCCGTCACTTTCCGCCGGGTTTTGCGAGGTAGTACGCGCCGGTAAAACGACTGAACCAGGTATACGTGCGCACGCGTGTGTGTGTGTGTGTGTGTAAATAGGTGCACAAGTTCGAAACTGAGCGAAAGATCGATCGGAACCTCGTGCCCTCGCAAAATACTCCGGCTCGTACCTTCCATGTCGTGTGTTCGATCTGATCGCTGCGAATCGTTTCTTCATGGCGGCGCGCCGTGCGTGCCGCCGAGCCTGATCGATTTTTCGAGCGAATGCCTCTCACTCTCTTCTCTCTCTCTCTCTCTCTCTCTCTCTCTCTCTCTTGCTCTTCCCCTCTCTCAATCACTCTCAATTCTCCCCTTTTCCATCCGGCAACGTCCACGAGAGGGTAATGCGCGCCTTAGGGCTCCTCTTTAAAGCCGCAGTAAATTAGTTCGCCACAATCTCTTTTTGATTGAACGGAAAAGTAGCGCGCGGAAAAGCACTCCTGTCCCTCGCGTAAACGTCGTTGTCTCTGTTCAAACACGTCAATATCGCCCTTTATGCGCTTCAGCCTTCCACGCAGTTCCCGACGAGTTCCCCCGAAGCCCTTTATTACGCGTGATATCGTTTTACGCGCGCGAGCGGGAGCGTCTTTTCGGTAACGTCGCGCCGTTGGCGCGGATGACGTTGCAGCGAAGCAAGAGTCCGCTTCTCGCTGGATTCGATAGGCTTCGAGATACACACAGGTGGACGTTGAATAATAGATATTCCGGATCCTGGTGCGTTCAAACACGCGGCGCTGCTTTACACGCGCGACGAAATCCTCGTATCCGGTACTCACCGATCACGGTCAGGTTGTAGCGGAAGCTGCGCGTCTGACCCTGCCGGAAGTCCACCCTGCATCTGTACGTGGCCGCGTCGTGCCGCTTTATGTCGTCAATCACCAGAACCGCCGGGCTCGGGAAGGCCGTGCGGAAGAACGCGCGCGGTCCGAAAACGCCGGAGTCTGACGAATGCTGCGCCTTGGTCACTGGCTTCTCTCGCGCGTCGATTCTGCAATAGGAGAAGGATTCCGTTTAGGCGACTTGTCAACTTCATTCCAGAGTGCACGTATCAGGTTGCGCTCCAAAACGACCGTTTCGACGAGGAGAATTCTGCCAAAAATCCACCGTACACATACTGCGGATTTTCCGCAAAATTTCCTAGCAAAAGGTATGTTTCGGAGAATGTAACTTAAGAGCGATATTCCTAACTCTGTTTTCACAGGAATCATTCCAATGTGTACTTCGTTACACTGAAATAATGGTCATCCGTGTCGCTTTTCGCATAAGGCGTTATATGTGCAAAATTGCGATATTCAGTATTAAATTTCTCATGAATGTGCAGATAAATCACACGAAACTCCAACTACGAATATGTTTTGCTGCGATAAATGTTATGTGAAATTTTTGTATCATTTTAAGCGTTTAGATTTGAGTGGATATACTCCACTAAACTATGTGGGAGAATAATAATAACTCGACAGAGAGAGTGTCGAGTTATGCTGCCACAGTTTAAATATTCACATCAACAACCGCGACTGGGTCTCCGTTGTATACCTAAGAACCTTGTTTGCACATAGTTTGCTAGAATTAGTCGCATCTAAAGAAAGTTGCGGCTATTTATTTATTATAAATAAATAGCCAATGAAACAACGTAAAAAAGATACTAACGCTTAGGATTACATTTATTCATCGTAACTCTAATAATTTAATTATTAGTCAAACTGTTGCATAATTAACGAAGTAAACATGCTTAAATAAAACGTATAGATCGAATAATTTGATGTACTCGACCAGCATTTATAACATTTCTCCCAAAGTAAAACAATCACTCGAGGTAGGCTTGTTACATCAGGCGATTTAATCTCTCCCACCGCTACCCATCAGGGTTGTTCATTCCCCGTTAACCCCATTTCATTTCTTTGGCTCGGAATAACAGCGCCGCGATTCCGATTCCTTTTTCTCCCGTCAGCTTGTAAGACAATTGGCGGGAATTTCGAGAATTCACGGCACGGTCGACGGCGGTATTCCGATATGTATACATAGAAAACGATCGCAATTTCCGGCCAATGAAATCCGAGCCTCGCGCGCGAACAGGAGGAAGAGGAAGAGAAGGAGGGAAGGAGGAGGGGGAGGAGGGAGAGGAGGAGGAAGAGTAGAGGTTCCGAGCCGAGCGACGCGGACAATAGAATCGCGAGGTGGCGGTCGGGAGGATCGGTCGGTTGGAAGTGGCGCTGAAAAAATCTGCATTGCGATTCATTGACCACCGCAGCGAACCGTGGCAGTATCGAGTATTACCCGCTTACGGGGCCGATATAATTATTTCAAATCGATCGAATAATTATCGTGCACGCGCGCGCGCGTGGACGTGCAGGTAGCCGGCGATAACGCAATTAAATCGCAGCCGTGTTATCCGATATTTTGAACGGACACCGTTCATTTCCGTTTCATCGATATCCGCGTAGATACGACTGGCCGAAGAAAAAGGGTCGAGAGAGCGGCCCGATGTGCGAGAGCGCGATCGAAATCGAACCGCGCGCGCGCGTCGGCTGATTACAATGGATAATTGGAAAATATAATCACGGCGGCGCGTTGCTCGACGCCGGGTAATCTACGGTATTTACGTTACGTTACGGTTTACCGCTCGAGGTACGCGCGCGATTCGCCAAATTGAGGCGAATTCGCGCACGTAGCTGTCCGACAACTGTCCGCCAGTGACATTTCAGCGAATCGCGCGCGATACGATGGACGATTGAAGGGGGCATTAGTCGGCTGATAATGAGCGATAAAACGCGCGCTGTACGAAATAAATCCGCCGGATAATGGCAATCAAAGAAAGCACGGCGGAAGTGAGGCGGAATCGAGCAAAGGGAAATATTCGCAATTGATTTTTACCGAATCTCGCGTTTCGCAGTAATGCCGAAATGAAATTTTACGGGTGCGCGTTCAACGATTCCTGTTTGACATTAACTGCAATTATATGCGCGCATAATATAGTAACTATACATTAATGGGAACGTAAAATCTCCCGAGATGCGAGTGTGTGTACGTGCGAGTATGTGCGCGTGCGTGCCTGCGTAGCGCAATATCGGACGTCGTTTGATGTAAACGTAATGTCAAAAGCCCGCGCCAGCGCGAAATCACGTATTTTATTAACGAAAGTGGCGATGTACATGTTCAGCGAAATTCACGATCGCTTCGGAAGGAAAGTTATTATTTGATAATCCGAATTCAGCCGAAAGTACCGCCGCGTTGCTCGTATTGCTGACACTAAAGCTCTTCTATCTTTCTCCCTCTATCCCTCTGCAATCGCTTTGCCAAAACGATCAAACATTATGATTTTATAATTGCGCGAAATGAAATGCGGCGTTTTCCCTCGCGAAAAATTTGATATTTAATTGCCGTTTAATTATATCACAATAATCATGTCGCGTTCATCGCGTACGACGCGGCAGCCCGAAACGTTCCACGCGAGAATAAACTTGCGGAGAAAAAACGCGAGGAGTTATTTACGAGCCGACCCCGATACTATACGTCTCTTATTATTTACGAGGTCTAATAACTTTTACGATCCCAACGTGAAAATGGACGGAGCGCGAGCGCACGATTGTATCGTATCCGGGTTTAGGGAAAATCGAGTTGTATCTTTTGTTTCCCTCTCTCCCTTGCCTTTTTCTCTCTTTCTCGTACACGGTGTTTCACTTTGAGCGTATGTGTGCTCGCGGAAGAGGCTTAGTTGTGGCAGCATAAAGGTTTTTCTTCCTCTTCCTTGAATTTCACGCGGACAACGATGACGACGTCGACGGAGTGCAGCGCGGATGCGGCCGAGAAGTGGTGGGAATAGAACAAGCGACGAAGGCGGAGAACGAGAGAATACGGTACGAGATGCAATAAGAAAATGCGTATTTCTCTCTCTCTCTCTCTCTCTTTCTCTCTCCCTTTCTCTCCTTCGCCCTCTTCTCCTTTTATGCGCCCCGGTACAGGACCGTTCGCTTCCTCCATCCTTCGCGGCCGTGCTCGAGGAGCACTCCAGCGAGACTCTCGTCGATTCACGTCGACGTGGCGCGCCGAGTAATACGGAATCGATGTCTGTTTTATGAAACGTTTTATCTTGCCGCGCAGCCAGCTTTCCAATATTTCGCCCGATTCTCTCCCGTCTCGTTCACGACCTTTCCCTTCGATCTGTCGTTCTCTCTGTCTGCGCCGTTATTCCCTCTCGCTTCGTCGCACCGACCGTTCTCTCCCTCCCCTGTTCCGTTCGACTACGTGTTTCGCTTCGATTATCTTCTCGCGAATGATACATATTCTTTAAGCCAGTGGTTCTGCAGCGCTGGTCGCGCCGTCTATGTTCCCACTTGGAAACAGAGAAATCACGTGAGGAACGTGTCTCTTTTCCGGGATGGGATGATCGCGGATGAATTTTACCCCGTATCGCCGTGAATTCTCGACGTCGTTGCCGATCGAGCGAATGCCGACAGCGAACGCTTTTCTCCGAGCGTGACGCGCGGGAATATCGTCGAAAAAGTGCGAAGCAAGCGCGAGAAGAGCGTCTCGAACAGCCGCGTTGTGTGGAAGCACCACTGTCTTCAGGGGCTTCAGCGGGATAAACAGGGTAGACAACGAGCGCGTGCGTGGAGCATCGAGAGCTCGCGAGAGCACAAATACGATTCCTCCTCCAGCCAGTAATAGATTTCATTCTCGCGCTGCAGCTTCTTCGACCGAGACGGAAGACGAGGAGTGGTGGCGGGCTGGATGAGTGGGTAGAGCTCTAGGCAGGTAGCCAGGTAGAAGGCTAGGCAGTTAACTACGTTCCGTGCTTGAGGAGCTCGTCTTTTTCACGATACAGGTGGATCTTGTGCCGCGGAAGAAACGTTCGTGTTCCACGTTTAGATTTCGTATAATTTCGGAGATTACAGTTAAATTCATTTCCAATATTTCGTCTCCCTCTGCGCGCGACTCGCGGTCTCGTGCCACACGACCCGCTCGTACCGCTTTGTCGCTCTTATTCTCTCTCTCTCTCTCTCTCTTTGGTTCCCTTGCCATTCCTCCACCCTCGCTCCACGGTTCGCCCGTCCACCCGCCCGTAAAAATGATAAATGTCTGGCGAGCAAAGGGTAAATAGCAACGGAATAAATGCACGCCCGCCAGCACGGTGCACTTTGCATAGCGTACAGCGAAAATTATACGTTTCTAAATATTTATTGGCGCATTAATTCCGCGACGTGTCTTTAACCCGGATCGCCTCGTGCTCGGCCGATGCCGCGTACCACGACCGGCGCGAGGGAGAGCCGCAATAATTCTCGTCGGTGCGGCGCGTTGTTTGCCGCGGGGTGCGCGCCGGATAGAGAGTCGCGGGACAAGCACCCCTCCCTGCCACGGTTTTCTAGATTACATGAATTTCGAGAGCGGCTGAGTGCTTTTTAATATTTCGCTCTACTTTCATCCGCGCGGCTCGGCATGTGCGCGTTGCGGATATATGTGTCGTGTGTATAGGTGTATAGCTGTACACACACACGCGCGCGCACGCGCGCGATCTCTTCGTGTACCTTCCTCCTTTGCACGCGTCCCCCATCCACCCTTTCCGCCCTCATCCCACGGCCGCGCGAGGTCTTTTATAGCGAAAATAACGCACACCCTTGGGGCAAAGGGTAAATAGCAAGAGAATAAATGCATGGCACCCGGTTTACGGCGAGCGCAATAAAATTCTTTTTCTTCCTTAATTCGCGTAGCCTCCCACGTTAATTTTTCATATTTCCGCGGAAACCGTATTTTCCGTGTGTATTACAATCAGCCGGTGAGATATTTCTCGCAACTCTACCGCGCTATTTTTACATTCGTCTTTTTCCATCGAGCCGATGCGTTTGCGTCGCGCGTGGATTCACGCCGCTCGACGCAGCAGTTTTATTTAATCAAGCTGCGAAGGAAAATAGCGCGTTATTTGTCGAGGTGTTGCGAACGGCATCGCTCGAATTCTCCCCGCCGGAGACAATATGGCACTTGGAGAGCCTCTGT